GGATCACCCCACTACAGAGTTAAAACATCTTACAGATTGTACGTATTAACAGTATGTTTCATTGATACACAGGTATGTATAGAATAGGTTCTACTGTGAATCAACAGTAGGAATTTTCTTCTACGGAAGATGCCAGCACGCAAACTGATCAAGAGGTCATACTTGCTCAGAGCTGTCTACCCCGGAAGGCCACTCCAAGCTAAACTTGACCGTCGGCTTGTAAAACCGTAAGAAAGGTTTCCCTATTTATTAAGCAACTGCAAGTAAACAACTGCAAGCCATATACCCAGTGAAAAAATCCTCACTAACCTAAGATACTGGAGAACTAATGCTTTGTTGCAAGCAGACAGACATGTTTGATGGAGAAATCCGCTCTCTTCCCAGTCTGACCCAAGTCTTGAAATCTTGCTCCTTTTGTTTGTGGTTGCTTATTTACTTTTCAACTTGCATTTTGTAAGAGTGTGAAGCCATAAAACAATTGCGACAGGCTTCCAGAATTCTACAGTTTGACACTTGGAGCCTTCCTAGCCATTGCTGTTTTTTGGTGCCACTGTCGTCACTTGGGAGTGCCGTATTTGATATACTAGATATGAAAATGTCTTCAGCCTCAGTGTTTCCTTCCAGTCAGGTTTTCTGCTTTACCGTGAAGCGTAAGCAACAATGACAGACATCATCTGAAGTGTTGTTTTTGTAATTCCTTTCTAAGTGACTTCATCGCTGAAACCTAATCGTTACCTTTTCATTCTTACTGTACTATCATAAACTAATTTGTTTTCTTTGACAATAACTTAAATAAGGAAAACCCGTTTTCTATTGCAAAACACTGACATTCAGCTGGAAAAATAGTCCTATCATGCTAAAAATGTCCAGAGGGTACTGAAATTAATTTAAAACCATTTATTTAACGGGTCAGCATTAATTCATTTTCTAAAATAGAACAGCAAAACCTTTGCGCTGTTTGGAGTAATTTGTTTTGAACAAAATAAAGACCAAAGAGCAGCTATACTGCAAAACTGAGTAAGAGAATGAGGCACGCATAGAGCATTTAGATAAAAAAAATATCCAGTTCTCTTGTGCCTAGGGAGGAGGGGGAAGCGAGGAAATACTAGCACATCTTTTAAAAAGTAATTTGTTCCACCAGTAGTACTGGCCACCCTGTTGAAGAGTTTTAGAAGATCCCTGAGCACATTAGTTTCTGACTCTTAACCCCAGCTCCTAAACTATAGGGCTTCTGTTGTTGATAGTGAGATGGATTGTCATTCACAGTTAAGTCAATCATAAGGTGCTTATCTATTTACCCTTTTTTTCACCAATCGGCACAAAGAACTGTCAGAAAATAACTTTTATTTTTCTTTTTTAAATAAAGGGCACAAAATTTAAACAATCAATGTTTTGTGACAGTGGTTTAGGATTATTATCTGGCTGCCCCTCAACAACAGACAAGTGATTCAATCGACATTCCTTAGCAAAAAAAAAAAAAAAAAAAAAAAAAAAAAGAAAAAAAATAATAAAAGGCAAAAAAAGGAAAATCCTGTACAAATATGTATTTTTCCCTGAGGGATCAAGGTTACACCCGCAAGTGCTCTATGTACATATTGCACTGTAGAGGAATGAAGAACATGTGCAAAAAAAGCAACAATGATTGAAGCTTACTCATTAAACCTTTTAATTGTGACTGCTATGTCATCTTGCATTTTGGAATGTCGGAACACAGCTATTCCTTTAATCTAAAATGTAAAAAACAAACAAAAAAAAACAAAACAGAAAAAGAAAAACACACCTCTACTATGGCACATTCAATGAAATAAAAAGTTTTCCAAAGACAAATAGACAAATTCCATCAAGAAAATAATACAAAGTTCGTTCGTTTGTTTTTTTTTTTGTTTTGTAGAAAAATTACATTACTTTCTTTCATTGTTTCACATTACAAAATCTTTTTTTTTTTAATGTCTACACAAATCACATTTTATTGCAGGAATATTTCAAGTGCCATCAAACATTTATAGAAGGGTTAAAAAAATAGAAGTCTCTCTAAAGTGGTCCAGACAAGGCTTTGTATAGAATAAATCTTTTTTCCACCTTCTATTTTTGACTTAAGTATTTTGAATACATTTTCTTTATTCCATTGACACTGTACAGCCTAGAAGCAGCCACTCACATACCCACGCATATATTCATGTGCGCACACAAACGTACTCTCTCACACACACAGAGGTGCACAGACACACACAGATATCTTCGTATCCATACTAAGTTAGATAAGCTTTAATAAAGAACAACCAAACTTAAAAACAGCCTCCCTTTTCACCTAATCCCATAGTTTTAGAATGTCAAACCATGCTGGAGATGCTGAAGTGTTTTAGGGTGGTTCAGATGACGGTATAGTATAGTATCTCTTTCCTAGAAAGCCAGAAAACATCTCTATGGATAGATAAAACACCCAGTGAAAATCTCTGTGCAGACTTTAAGGAACAGATCCTTCAAAACCAACAAATTATTCCTTTATCTGCAGCTATCCTCCTGTTTTTTGTTTGTAGTGAACTGGGCAGATTATGAAAATACTCATGTGAATACGCGTTGTTGACTCCAAGTATGTTTTTTAACTGACTGTTCCATTGATGATCTGATACCAGGCCATAGTCCCAGAGGTTCTGCAGAGTGTGTCTCCCTTGCTGCGCTGGGTTCTCACATGGCCGTCGCTCTGATCTTACTCTACGGCCCCTCTCATAAAAGCCTCCTTGGCAACAGAAGTCTTCTCAGTACATCTGCCACGCTGTATCCCTGCTTTCCCCTCTCTATGAAGAGCGAAACAACAGTAATATTCCGCTGCCAAGTGGCTGTTAACTGCGATCAGGAAAGCAGAGTTACTTGGGATGTGTATGCACAGCCCGATTTAACAGGGTGCCAGGACACAGGAGCTCCCACGGACAAAAATGACAGCAATTTCTGGCCTGGCAGATCATGTCACAAGCTGTTTTCAGATGCAGAAGGCTTTTCGCTAAGGCCCTACCTGGAACCTTTTTATGTTTATGTATTATATTAGTAAATGCTCCAAAAATCTGTGTTGTCAATGACTTATGGGTGTAAATATGCTGAACTAGATACCAAACCATTGGCACCTAGATGCCTGGTAAAGCACTAATATTCATCAGGAAAAGGTAAGAAAAGGATGTGACTGAATATTAATCCCCAAATATTTTGCCTGGTATTCTACTTATTGTCAGAAGTAGGAGTTGTATCTCGCTCGCTAAAAAAGTACAGGTCTTGTTTCATTATTCATTAGTTGACACTGCAATTAAGTTTAGTTGATCTTTACAGGACTAGCACCTAAGGCTGGTCACATTCAGAAAACGTTTGTTAGTTCAAAGGGTTGCTTTAAAAATAGGAACACACATTAGAATGAAAGTACCATATCATGCCAGTTACTCCAATAAAGTAAACAATGATTCTAGGAAAAGTGTTTCCGTGGGACTGGAGAGAGCGAGCGCGGGGCTGTGCGCTGCCTCTTCGGGAGCAGGCAGGACAGAGCAGTGAAAGCACGGCTCTCTGGACCCTCTCCAGAAGCCCTCCCGTGCCCCCGTCCCAGCGCTCACCGAGGTGCAGGTGGTCCCCTCCCACTCTGTGCGGGCACACTACTCTGAAGGGGGAACACAGGATGCTACCCCTGCCTTCCAAAACGCACAGATGAGCGATAGCTGGGAGCATCCCTCATGTGGCAGACCATGAAAATTTTTAATAGGTGTCATAGCTAACAGTCTCAATTTGAGCCCAAAGGAAACATGTTCAAATCACAGAATAAACCTCTGTCTTCCTTTTAATAATCCACTGACCAAATTCTCCTTTTTCAAGTAGTTAGGCTTCAGGGTGCTTCTGTTCACTTCTGTGACTTTGCAACGACTACAATACACGTAAGAGATTGTTTATTCTTGGAAATTAAAGCAGGGGAGCACATTCTACCTCACCCCTTTTTCAAAGTTCCTGGCTTTTTCTTATGTACTTCATCGGAAACTTCATTTGCCTAGGCCCTACAAGGCATCCAGTTCTACATCGTCATCTCCTCCAAACCAGTTCTGCACCTCTGGCTCAAACAGCCACAGCTGATTTTGTCATTATTGTGACCCTGCTTCCTTCAGAACTAGGTTTACTTGCTAAATTTGCTCAGTGACAGTATTCTTCCTAAAGGGAATGCTAATTAATAATAATAAAAACTGCAAGATTCAGCTTAGTAGTTGGTTCTGCAATAAGGGAATCACAATTTCAGACTCACACAATGCCAATTTGTGATATTAACTATTTCCAGGCATTATACAGAGTACAGAACAATGCTTTCTAGCAACAGTGTGCCTTTACTTCGTTAGTCTGTCCTTAGCTGATGAACTTTAAAGTGCATCTTTGTAAATAAGGAGAGCAATTGACTTCGGTGTGCAGCTACCTGAAACTGAACTGCTGGATGCTGGAAGAGCACGGGTCAGTGTCTCATCTCACTGAGGTCACAGACAGACCTCCTGTGGATTCTGACAGGCTACAGTTCGAGTCTGAACGCATTGTTTACGATATGGAGTACAAAAGTATGTAATAATACGTATAAAAACTACCTTTCCACATACGTGTCATACACACATACTTTTACTGTAGATACAGACTTGAGTAAATACCTTCAAACCTGGAGTTACGGTGGGCAGAAATACACTTGAATAGCCTGATTTTCAAGGATGCTGTGTTACTCATTTGTAAATGATCTGCAATTGCTAGTTGAACTTTGACCAGGGAAACTCGGCACCTTGGAAAACGAAGCCTTTGACTCGTGCACCTAAATTGGAATTTAGGCATGTAATTTTAAACATCCAGGTTTGAAAGACTTGAAAATAAAAGTACCTTTGAATTTAACAGCCGAACAGCTGATTTTAATTTAGAAAACTGTCATTATTTTCAACTCTTTAAAAAAAATCTGTAACCATTTCAGGATATGACCAGCCTCTCTTTAAGAGTAACATGGAAAACAGCAGCATAAATACCTCCCAATGTACCAGTACCTGCCAAACCTTTTTCAGTTAAACTTGAATTTCTGGTGCACATGCAACACAACAATGAACACGCTAGCATTTAATTTAAAGAAAAAGGTGCAAAATGAAAGTGCCTTATCAATTCAACAAGAAAAGCTATACCAGTAACTACATTTTATATTAATTAAAACAATATATAAACAATATCTCTTTTGTTATATATAGTCTTCATGCCCATTTACCCTGTAATATATTATAATGCTATTGTTGCTATTGCTATGGACCCTTTTCATGCCGTTCTGTCTACTGGCAAACAGTGGTAGGTGAAAAAAATCGTCCTTCATGAAACAATGAGCAAGTTGTGCAAACTGATGCTGAAATCTCTGCAATGCACACCAGTCGCTGACTGCTAGGTGGACTGTCTGTTCGGACCAACCCATTGATTGTTCTGTCAAAAGTCTGGGCAGTGAACTACAGGAGAAAACAACCTTCTGACATTCGTACCCTCAGTCTGTGTAAACAGAGGTCAAGGATTGAGAAGCTGAGACAGAAAAAGGGTCCATATTGGTAGGCATAATGGAAATCATATGCATGAGAAAAACAAGTTCAACTTTGTTTCATTGTTTCCCATCCTTCGCCTGACCCCGACCGCCAAGAGATGTGCAGTGTGTTGGCTCCCTAGGTCTGTGCAGGGCCATATAAAGTGTCTTGGTTTTCCTTTTTTTTTTTTTTCCTCTTTTCCTTTCTTTTGTTTTAATGTTTGTACTTCGGACATTCTAGAAGTGCTCAGGTGATACATTTACCCATCAATTTGCATCGCTGGCTCAAATTCTGAAGTGAACAACTCCTTGTAAAGTGGAGGAAAATGAAGTCGTACAATGTCTGGGTATATTGCTTTAAATGCCATAAGCTTTTCTGTATGTCGTCCACACAGTGCTCTTAAAGTAGATACTTTGCATATTAACTGTAAAAAAATGAACAGAAGTCATATGGTCATACACGGAACCAGGCCTCCCAATCTTGCTCTTGGGATTAAAGCTCTCCCAAACACTTAAGAGTTCACTTCAGTTTTTACCATGACAATGACAGTTCAGATGCGTAGTCATAGATGTTTGTTAGATTTTTTTTTTTTTTTAAAAAAACAGGAAGCCACAGAAAAGCCATTTGTGAAATAATCTTTTAATTTCCTTGGAAAACATATCATTAGGTTTCCTCACTTGCCTACCAAGCACCGGACTGATACAGAAGTATTTCACAGCTGGACCTTCATTCATGCAACCTAGTCATTCTTCTGGAAGAAGGCAGTCCTGACTACTTTTAAACCCACTCTGAATATTACAGAGGGAACTGGCAATGCAATATAGATTACGCTTTTTAAATTTATGCCAAATAAGGTGAAAAGGAACAGACCAGAAAAATCTGTACTTCAAAAATATTGCTCCCTGAACTTAGAGTAAATTATTTGTATCCAAGCATATGGAAGAAGCTTTCTTCCAGCAAAGGTATCCAAAGTATATACTGGGAAAAGAATTCTGTGAGCCAGGATCTGAAGTGAGGACAATCTGCAGAGCCTGGGCTGGACCATCCTTCTGCTGCTGTAATTCATTCTGCGGTGTGAAACTCCGCACGAGCTTTCCGGCTGCATGGAGTTCTAAAAGGAACTACCTCTGTAAGGAAGCGCCTATCCTTCCCCAGTTCTTCAGATTCATTTTTTTTAACATGACACCACTTTTCCATTTTTGAAAAGTTACATGAAGATACTTTAGATTAGCATAATAGTATATAGCATCTCTTTTCCCTAGGCATCAGAATTTGGAAGAACTGCTGAGAAAAAGGCTGTGTGGGGAACTTCTCATGGAAGGCTGAAAAACAAGGTTAGTTTGGGTATTGCATGTTGTAACGACTTAATTGTCATGCAGGCAGAGATTTCATGAGGACTAAGACATGTGTGTTGTAGAACTGAAACAGTATTCTGCCTGGCAGAAATGTTGTGTAGGAGAAATAGGATAAAAAACCTTCATCGCTTCTCGTGAAGTTCAATATTAAAATACCTCTTTTCAGACCATTATCAACCTTGCTCCCTAGCACATCATCATTTCACCTACTCTAGCTGTCGGTAAATAGTTTCAGCTAAGCACCTTGATTTTGAACAAAGAATTCTGGGTTTATAAATAACAAATTACCTGCGCAAAAGCTTTTACACCATCATCAGAATACCATTCGTGAGGAAGCATACTTTCACAGTCATGTGACATGACTCTTACCTTTGTTAGAATTCCATCTTCTCGGTGGTTCTTCTGTAGGACATGCTGAAGTGCTAGCTGGATCTTCTGTTGGAGTTTTTCAATTTTTACTTTCTCCTGAAGCCATGAGCGATCTAAATATAAATGGAGTTAACGCCTCTAGTGCTGCTCACATCCATCACAGTGCACCAGGAACTGCTAAGCCTGTCACAGATTCATCTTTCTTGTTTGCAACCTTCCTTCCACTTCCCATATACTCTCACACAGAAAATGAGTTTCAAAATTAATAGGCTTTGGAGTATATTTATTACGTGCATTTAAAATTACTTTTATAAAGCCCTTAATTAGAGGAATGCAGCATATCTGCTTAAGATTTATTAATCATTTGCTAACGAGGTCTGTAAAATGCAGAGTATTTACAAAATGAAGCTAGCAACTTTTTAGTGGGAAATGAATAGATCACATAATGAACAAGTAGTTGTAGTGGATGTTCTTGCTGCGATCTACAGTGACATACAGAAAAATCAGAAGCAAATATTCAGCTATTAAAAAAATAAAAAAGCAGCGCTCCGAAACCTCCCAGAAGAGTAGTATTAGCTGCTACCTCCTCTGGTTGGCAGAACTGGGGGATTCTGTGGCTTACACCCTAGGGCACAGGGCTAACACCCTTTCGATCTGGCAAACAGCATGCGGATGTGTTCATGGTGGTCTCCCTTAAACCCACTACTGCTAACAGTCTTCCACCACTCCCACGCTGCAGTCCAAGAACAGAGCGTTCACTCCGTTGAGTGTTCCGCCAGACACAAACCGACTTGCTGCACCAGTATCTTGTTCCACTGACCGAAGAAGCCTTCCAGAGCCTGGAGTACTGTGCGTATCTGCTTGAGATTATTAAGTTATGTCAGCCACGGGTATGGTAGACCCAGGCTGACTCTTGGGGTGACCTGTATGGCTGGCACTGTAATTCTCAGTGCACCCAGTTTCACGAGGAGGACAGATACCTCAGCTGCCTCGGCACCTTTGTACCACACTAAAATGGCAACCCTGCTTAACAGACCTGAGGCTACACTGGAAGCATTCTGTCATGTGCTTGAGATAATTCTGCTACAGCTGCAAGCTCACATGCACTGGAAGCTGACTTTTTAAGTTCAGTGCCTATCTTCTGCCTGTCTCACCTAGACTGACCCAGTGGTCTCACTCACATGGCATTTAACCTTTTGCAAAGAAGCCAAGTCTGCAACGAGGTGAAAACTTGGAGAACAAGGGATTAGATTAGGATTTCCAACTTAACAAACATTCCTAAATTCATAGTTTTAATGTGTTTATTAAAATAAAAATTTTGGTCAAGAAGGAGACACTCAAAAAGATGATGACGTTTCACACTGTCCGATAGTTTTATCATTAGAAAGACTTCAAAATAAAAACGACCTCTACCAGATAAACCTAGAGCAAACCTTTATCTCTTACCTGCCGACATTAAAACAAACGCAGAAAACAAAGCTATCTCATCTTCTGTCAGGTGCATAGAACACAAACTTTTTCCAAATTCAAACACAAAACTAATGAAGTCTTCACAACCTGCCAAAGAGAAGGTACAGCTCATGCCACATTGTTTAAAACTACTTCAGAGCTACAGAGTTGATGTATTCTGATGGAAGTGAAAAATGGATGTAAAATACTTCACAGGTGAATGATCTTCTCTCTAAGGACTGCGGAGGGATGGCAGTGAGAGCTCACTCGTGCTTGAGCTTACTACCCCATTCCCATGAGTCCCGAGCTCCCACACCCTGGCAGCCAGTACTCTGAAGGTTTGGCGAGCTGAAGCTTTTCCACATTTGGTTCTTTTGGGGTAAATACGGATAAAACCCAAGCCATTTTCAAGCTCAGAACTGGTTCAGCTTTCTGTTCTAAACGAGACTTTCGCATGTCACTGTGGACTGGAGGTTCAAAACGCGTACTTGAAAAGTGCCAATGTTAAGACTGTCGAGCACAGAGAAGAGGCGGGGGAAGAGAGGCATACAAGGTACGTGCAGGAGCACAGGGAGAAGCCAAGGCCTGAAAGCTTCCCATGCAGGACAGGAACTCTGACTCCTTTCATCCGTTCTCTTGCTCCCGTGGGCGTCAGCCAGGTTCCTGCTGCTGTTACACATGCTGTTACGCAGTTAGTCAAAGTGGAGCCCTGCTCTGAAGGGGACTGCAGCCCGACGGAAGAGGGCTCTCCTCTGCAGATCTCAGCCCCAACCCAGCTTCAGTTTCTGGATGCAGATGGTAACAGATGAAAGCTGTGTTTCACTGGAACCCACGTCTGATACTGGTTCTCTGAACTGTCTGCACTCAGACCTTGTACCTCAAGGTGTTTTAGAAAGGCAGAGAATACTTCAATAACTGTACAGCATTCTCCGCTGCCATATTTTCACTGCCCTCCAAAATTACTTGCATCCCAAATCTATACCTGGGAAATGCATCCTTTTAGCATTAGCAAAAATATACAGGAAGAAACTGAAAATGATAAACTGTGGTTTAATGAAAAAAATTGATGTATAGTATTTTACCTGCAAATAACTGGACTTTGCATATTACAAAACTATTAAAATCTGCAAAACAATAACGTCAGTATATCCAAAATTAGCTTAAAATCTGCTGCCTTTTCCAACAGGATATATAAAATGTTACGCTAGATATGAAACCTGGGCTTCTGTTCTCAACAAGTGTGTCCAAACTGGTCTGCCCTGACCTTTGTGTTGAACGTCAACAGCCAGAGCTCTTTACTACACAGAGGTGAGGTAAGCGTTCTAACTCCTGACATCAGCTTGGCCTCCGACAGAGCCAGCATGACTGCTTACAAAATAAGCAGTGTGAGCTTTGGAACTCTTATTTGAATACTATAGCCTGAATGTTTCAAAGCAGCTGTCCCCTTGCTTTTCCATCTTATTATTTTTATATATATATTTTTTTTTTAAGATAGAACACTTGTCATTTTCTTACCTAAGGACTTGAAAACCTCTGGGCTAGCGTACTTGCCATCAAAGTAGACTGTGTTGTTCTGGGAGTCAAAGGCACGGCACATTCTGATGAACACAACCTCTAAAGACCCTAAAACAGAAACAAGGTATGTTTGACTATTTAAGTCGGGACTTCAGTTGCAAGGAGCAAGCGAGGATTTAAAAATCTCCTATGCTCTGCATTCAGTATCAATGGAGTAGGATTGCAGGTTTCTGTGGTGTAACAGAGCACGGTATGATGTGCTAGTAGAATTGAGAGAATTCCCACAAACTCCTTCAGAAGTTTTTGCTAAAGCAACTTAGTTAATGCTAATAAACTCTGACAACTTTTGTTAGAGTAATGAAGTCGCTGAAGTTGAAGCAGCTCATTTAGATTTATGTTCATGAAGCTTTGCCAACTTTTTTCAGTATTTGTAAACTGCATTACTTCTGCATCATCTTGTGTACAACGATCTGGATTTTTACCTTCAAGTATATTATTCACTGCTAGCAAGCCGAACTAAAAAATTTGAATCCAACCTCTCCATCTTTACACATTCATTGCTCCCTTTGCTCGCAATGAAAATTTCATACGTAGATGTGAACTCGTTCTATCCAGAGTAACTAAGAAGGTATAGTACTTCAAACACACACAGACAATTTTTCCCTTGTATTACTTTAAATGACCATTGCACAACGTATGTGTACACGTGTACGCAATAACTGTACACAGGTAACACCTTCCTCAGCCAAAACTAATAGAAGCAGACCTTAAAACTGACTCGCATACCTGCTTTTAAAAGCACAATTTGATCGTTTTGACACAGTTCCATGAAGCCATCAATGCGTTTGGCAAATTCCACCACATACTGTATAGCTTCTGTTATTTTGACTGCGCATAACTGCCACATTACCTCCCTTTGCTGTTCGGGAGAGAAGAAAAATTGAAAAATTACTCATCAAGATTTGGAAAGTAAAGTATTTTCATAAAGTAAAACTGAGCTGAAAAAAACCCGCAGCGTGAATTATCTCCAACACTCTCGGCTACAGTCTGCTTGTAACATGAGGGGAATGGACCTCACAGACAAAGCCTCCCGCGGATGAGTGACGACGCAAACAGGTACGACTTCTTCAGTGGTGTCGGAAGAGATCCAGGTCGATGTATTTTTATGTCACAAGCCAGAAATGTCGAAGTATAATGATTCTGGTGATTGCAGTGGGAATTCTGTTCACTGCATCAAAAGGAAATGCCAATTTACACTAGCAGTGCACAATCACATTTTTCCTATCGCTTCTGTATTTTGTGCTGAATGTAAATGATCTAACGAGCTCGTCTTCATAAGGATACACATAGAGATATACACACATGAAGACCATCTTGTTAACAACATAAAGACGGCATGCAATTAGTGATTTTTTTCATGTGTTCATAATAATTCAGAATGAAAGTACCTAATGAGTGGAAAAAAATATATTCTTACAGGTTAAATACTTTTTTGTGGACATGAAAAAAGTGTTCAAAGAACAGCAAGCTTTAATAGTGCTTCCCAAGACAGTTTTCCCAAAGTAGCCGCGCGGTCGTGGCTCATGGGTGGAAGGCACACTGGGAAGACAAACCCCGACTGCATCTCAGTGCCACTGGCGGCGCGGCAGTGCTGTGCTGCTACTCTACAGTCACACCACAGCGGCGACTGCGCAATGGGGCAGCGCGACAGCCGGGCACTGGAGCCTGGAACCCTGACAAGAGTTTGCCGTTTATAGGTGCAAAACAGAACACACCACGTCAAATTACAGGACTTGGTGGCTTCAGCTTTTTTTCTTGTTGTTGATCCAGGAGATTACAAATTAAGAAGTGAAAATAATGTGCCACTTGGGATTGAAAAAAAATTCTCTGGTTTATTCTCTTTGTTCATCAACCACAGACAGACAGATTTTGGGAGTGTGGCTTTGCCTTTTCTTGTACCTGTAAAAATCACAGCAGTAAAGGACATCCTAACCGTCTTGCCGCTTTTGACTCTAGCATATTATTTCTCTGAAAACGCACAGAAATGTATGTTCCTGATAGTACACAGAAAGCAGTGAAGAGGTGAATTTTGCAGCATGTTATGGAAATACCACGCGTTAAAGAAAGCGTGCCATAGCTTAGCATGCTCCTATACCTTGTTCTGGTAGTTCTCAATTTCTTCCTGCAGAAAGGTCTGCCACGTGATCTGCTGCAGCTCCTCTCTCAGGTACTGGCAGGTTTCCATGTGAGACTTGGAAATATTCTGTGCCAGGTGTTCTGGAAGACAGACCAGGACGGGCACAGGTTACAGCCGCAGGCGGGCACCCCGGCAGGAGGGGA